GCCGGCACCACCCACCCGCACAATCGATACCGTAGGGCGGGCGACCTCCCCGTCACGGAGGTTACGAGTCCAACTGATTAAAAATACTCTCCTGGGAAAGATTGGAGGGAGAGGACCCGGGCGGATCTGTAATTATAGCTGTCCCCCTCCTCCTCCGAGGAGGAAGAGAGGAGAGGAGGGGAGGGGAGGAGGGCACCGCAGGCACCGCCCAGCCCGTCGGCAGACGCAGGCCTGCTGGAGGCGCCCGTGGCTGGCTGGATCCACGCCTGGAACACCCCGAAGCCAAGCGCTGGACACACACACACACACACACATGATGGGCTTGTTTTCCACCACCACCACCACCATAAGTAGGAGGAAGAGGAGGAGGAGGAGGAGGAGGAGGAGGAGGAGGAGGAGGAGGACCCCCTCCCCCTCCAACTTATGGTGGTGGTGGTGGAAAACAAGCCCATCAACACAGACACACTGCTGGGGCCCCGCGTCGGAGAGGTCTGGCGCTTGGAGAGGCACCCGGGGCACACGTGCATCCGGCTCCCCCGCCCGTGCCACCCGCGCCCTGTGCGATTCGCGACGGCGGCGCCGCTCCTCCTCCTCCTCCTCCTCCTCCTCCGCCTCCGCCTCCTCCTCCTCCTCCTCCTCCTCCTCCTCCTCCTCCTCCGGGCGAGAGAGCGGGGAACGTGAGGGCCTGGGTCCCTGCGGGGCCCCCGACCTCGCCGGCCACGGCGGCGCACGGAATGCGAGCGGCCGAAACTTGAAACTTCAGCCCGCGCCGATCCACGAGCATGGCTTGACCGACCCCGATGCCCATGGGCGTTGCCTGGGAGCCACTGGCCTGTTTGCCCCCCCCCCCCGCAGATGGCGCTGTGGGCCGTTCCCTTCGGGCTTCGAGGGGTCCACCTCCCAACTGGGTGGCTGAGATGGTCGGGGGCTCGCGGGGTCGGCTGAGCAGTGCTGCCTCCGGGCAGCGCACGTGGCCGACTCTGGCGGCCCCGGGGGGCCCGAAACATCTTGAGGCGCAGCCCTGCTGCCGCCATGGGCCCCGCCCTATGCCCCTCCGCCGGCGGACCGCTGGTCCCGGGCCCCGAGGAGAAGGACGCGCGCTGCAGCCAACCCGTGTCATCAGGATCCACGGTAAGGATGCAAGGGCCTTGGAGGGCCTGTTGCAGCTTTCGAACGAGGTTGGCCAGCGAGAGTCGCCAAGAGGATGGGCCGAAGAGGCAACCGATGCAAGGGTACAGTTGGAGGGTTGCCCATCCTTCCCATGCGGTTTGACTGTATCACCCCCACCTGAGCGACGAAAAGAAAGGGACCTTACGCGAGGTGCCATCGCGGCTTTACGCGGCGGCTCACGCGGGCCGCCTGCGCGGCACGCCAAAGTGAAGACGAGGGCGCTTACGCGCGACCTTGCGCGAGCAGCTTAAGCGCGAATGTCGGCGCAATTGAACCCGTGTTTTTTTCGTCGCTCACATAGAGAATGGAGGCAGAGGGTGGTCAGGGGTGCTGGTGGTGTAAACCGTTTCCGGCGCCTCTCGCGGGACATCGTGCACACTCGCATCCCTCACACCAGCTCATCCATGAATCCCGACAGGTGGTGGTGGTGGTGGTGGTGGTGGTGGTGGTGGTGGTGGTGGTGCGCTTTCTGCTCCGAAGACCCCCGAGGTGCCGAGATTCGATCCGCAAGTCCGACCAGCACAGAGGAATGACACACACACACATGAACATGTAAGCTTTCGGAGCTCCGCACGCGCGTCTCGGATCGGCGCGCCGGGCCCGCGCCAGGGGCGGCCTAGCGGAGATACACGAAATCCGCGCGGAGATCCGAACGTGCAGGTTGATCAGAGTTCTTCGTAGCCGACAATAGAGATCTCGACCACTTCCCCATGGCCAGCCCTTCATCCCGAGTCGTCATTTGACGGCCCATTGCGGCGAGGTCGAAAACTGTCAAACACCGTTTGTCGCATTTTTTGTTAGAGACGCGACGGCACCTGGGTCGGCCCCGCCTTCGGCTTGCTTCCCCCAGCCGCCGACAGCCTTCCACCAGCCCCCGCCAAAGGCCAGGACCCAAACACCCGACGGTGTGATATTTTCAATGCGCGGGCCCGAGAGGTCCCGACCCATTCCCCGGGGGTAATGTTTCGCTTCGGATCCACGTTTGATGACCCCCGGGCCCGTTAACAGGACCCGGAAGCCGACCTCGAGGATAAACGCCGAGGCTGAAAAAGCGAAGACGGTCACAAATGCAGTCGGGGGTTACTACGGGTGCCCTGGCCAAAGGTGCCCCCATCTTTTAGCTCCGTTTTGGAGCCCCTGAGGCCCTCTAGGCCTTGTGAGGGGTGCTCTGGAGATTGTATGGGACTTCCTTGGAATCCTGGAAGCACCTTGGGCCAGTGCCAGGGGCACTTCTAGCAACACCCGATGTGGCGACGCGCCGATCGTCGGCGGCGAGCGACGGGGGGAAGTGAGAAGCTCTCGCGCCCTCTGAAAGGTTCTCTGTATCTTCGGGGAAGGCTCAGATAACTTCTCAGAAGGCCGGGGGACTGCCGAGCCTTCTGAAAGGGCCTTTCTCCTTCTCACTTCCCACCCGGGCTCGCCGCCGAGCGGGGCCTCCTTTAGAAGAACGAACAACGCTATAGCCATGAACGTTTGGCGCTCCACGCGGATTTCTTGGATCTGCGCCAGACCCCCCTCCCTGGCGCGCGGGGCGCGCCAGGGGCGGCGCCGGAGGCGCCGCTGGGGCGCCCCAGCTCAGATCCGAGAAATCTGCGCAACGCGCCGAGAGTTTTGGCTTGCACCGTTCATTCTCCTTCGATCCCTGGAATCCCAGGGGGCACCTTGGGCCAGGGGCACTTCTGGCAGCACCCGAGGGCCAGGCGCGCCGGTCGGCGAGGCCCTCCTCTGAGGCCCGCGCCCGCGCGCGGCGCCGATGCGGAGAAGCGCCCTGGAGGGCCCGGCGGCACAGGGCGTTCTGCTTGAGACTCGAGGGGCTCGGTTCCCCCGGTTTCCCCCGGGGCCGTAGGCGACCCTAGGAGGAGGAGGAGGAGGAGGTGGAGGAGGGGGAGGAGGAGGAGGAGGAGGAGGAGGAGGAGATGGAGGAGGGAGGAGGAGATGGAAAAGGAGGAGGAAGAGAAAGAGGAGGAGGAGGAGAAGGAGGAGATTCCGCGAGATTCCCCTCTGCCGCAGGCAGTCTCTCCCGCCCTGTCGCGGTTCCCCGCCGCGCGGCGCGCGCCGCGCACGGGGCCAACCGCTCTGGGAGGCCGCGCCCCTGAGGGCCGCCCTCCTCTCCACGCGCGTCTTGCGGAGGCGCGTGGAGCAGGGTGGCCGAGCGCGTCCTCTGTGGCGTCCGCGCAACCACCCCCGAGATCCTCAGCACCCCGCGCGGCGCCATCGGGGAGGCCGCCCCGAGCGCCCCTCGCGACATGCCTTCCAAGGAAGGTGGCAGTACCTGACCCATCCAGTCCAGCGCAGCCGTGCGCGTCGCGGCGGTGCTGGGCGGCGTGGTGCTGCTGGGTGGGCTGCTGGTCCCCGTCGTGCTGTGCGTCGTCGAACTGTCGACTGGCATCGGTGGGGTGCTCGTTCGCCCTTTGTCGCCCTTCCTGGGCCTCGTTGTCATGCTGGTCTCGGTGGTGCTCAGTGGCGTGGTGCTGCTGGGCGTGTTGCTGCTGGTCGCCGTCGTGCTGCTCTTCGATCGGTCGACTGGCAGCTTGGAGGAGCCTGCGCACCTATTGCCTGCGGCGTTCCTCGTCGATGCTCGTTACAGTCGCTGCGGCTGTCGAGGGTCGTTGAGGTTGTTGCTCACAGGCTTGCTGCTCGTCGCGCTGGGGTCGCGATGCTTCGTCGTGCTGACATCGGTGCTGGGGTGGTGGCTGCCCGTTCTGCTTGTCCTGGTGGTGGCCGGGCTGCTGTGGAGCTGTCGGGGAGCGCGGGCGAGGGCGTTCAAATGTTTCTTCTCGCTGACGTCCCCTAACCGCCCCTTCTGGTGGACGCGGGGAGTGCTCGTCCTCCCCCTCCACACCGTTGCAGTAAACGGCTTGCGTCCTTGATGGTGGTGTCTGCGGTGGTTCAATGGTCTGCGTCACTGGTGGTTCGTGGCTGCCGTCGCTGGGCGTCGTGCTGGTTTGGTCGCTGTCGGGTGCTGGATCGCGTCGTCCTTGGCTGGTGGCGGTGCTGGTGTCGTCGTGCCCGTCATGATCGTTGTCGGCGAGCTCCGTCCATTTCAGGAGCTTGTAGTGCAAGCTGCGGCATCCTGTGCGGCGCGTGCAATCCGAGCGCATCTTCTCCGAAACGTACTCGGTGGTGGAGGCACCGCAGTGGCGGCATACCCAGCGGGATTCTGCTCGGATGAACATCAGCTGGTGGCTGTCGTGTGCAGTGCGTCCGTGCTGGGTGATGGCTCGTCCTTGTCGCGGTGGTTGTCCTGTGATTTGTTGCTGGAACCCGTCTCGTACTGCTGCAAAGCTGGTGTCTCGTCCGGCGCGCTGGGTGCAGCAAGTGCACACCCAACCCTTTCCCCGTCGTGGCCTGGCCACGTCGTGGGTGGTAGGTGGGCGTCTGCCGTCTGGTTGAGGTGGTCCGTCGGCGAAATAATCTCGTCTTCGTCTGAGTTGCTTGCGGTGCTCTTGCTGCTGTGCTCGTCGTGCGGCGCGTACTTCGTGTGCTTCTGATGGGCGCCGGTCGATGGCGTCGATAGTGGCGGCGGCCATGCGCTTGCGGATGAGGGCGGCGGTGGCGTTGACCCACTGGTAGCATCCGAGCTGGTCCTCGTCCAGTTGGTGCTTTGCGGCGGCTTGCTCTGCGAGTTGGTCCACTTGTGCGTTTCCAAACCATGCATGTCGGGGGGGGGGACCTCGGCCTTGCGCTTCCTCTTAGGTGAGGTGGCTGTTGACGTGGTGGACTGCAATGTGAACTGGTCCTTGCTCGTCGCGGTGCTCTAGCTCCTTGCCGATGGCCCCCCAAAGGTCGTCATTGGTGCCCGTGTGGGGCTGTAATTGGTGCCGTCGGTCTCGCCAGCCTCGGATGCGATTTCGCTGTCCGTCCAGAAGTGCATGGCGCCAGTGGTGTGCTTGATCGCATCCAAGTGTGCCCAGAGTTCTGCACGGTTGTTCGTTTGTCGTCGGGAGTGTAGTGGGCCGCGTCGTGCTGCGGTAACGATGAAGCCGCCGTCGCGTGTGCTGCCAAGTCTTAGCCGCGCCCATCCACATCTTCGGTAGCGCCAGTCGGAGGAGTGCTCACCGCCTGAGCCGTCGCCGTAGATGACCAAGGGCGTCCCGTCGTTGGTGCAGATCTTGTCGGCTTGGGTCAGCTCGCCCATGTTGGATGCTGACTCGGCCGTGGAGGTGGGGTGATGCCTCTGAGCCAGAAGGCTGGGGTGGTTTGGTGTCCGGCGGCGGCGCGGTCTTGCAGCCTGTCAATTTTGTCGTAGATGTCGTCGTCGCCTCGGCAGCTGCATCGTTCTCAGATGCGGTGGTAGTCGGCGTCTGGCTGCCCGCATTCGCATAGGTGGTTGCCATGGCCGAATGTCGTCTGCTGCCTAGTGCGAGCCCGCGTTCCCGCACAAGCTGCAGTGAGAAGGGCGCCGTATTCGCGGTGCTTGTCGTGTGCTCGGGGCCATTGCAGGTGTCGCTTGGGTTCTGTGGTGCCAGCGCTGTTGTACTCGAGGCCTCCGCCGTTGTAGTAGGTCGCTGCGGTCCTCCAGAGCTGCTGCCTTACGTCGTGCATGATGGCGTCTAGGATGTCTTTGGTGTCTTGGGCGTCGTCGTGGGGGAACTTCCAGTCGTTGCCTGTGCTGTCGATCCAGTGGTCTGGTCCGCGGGAGTCCCAGCCGAGTTCCCACAGCGCTAGGATGATGGCTGCGATGGGGCCGCGTTTCTGGTGCCAGCGGTGGTGGGTAGGCACCTTGAACAGTCGGAAGTAGATTCTGGGCCAGGCGCGTCTGGTTTGCGCGCGTAGGTCTGGGCTGCGCGCCCAGCATCCAAACCAGTTGGAGAACTGCGTGCTCGCAAAGGTGTAGGCGGGGTCGGCCCCTTCCAGGTCGAGGAATGTGGCAAGGCAGCGCCCAGGCCAAGGTCGTCGAAAAGCTTGGGCGCATTGGCGTCGTGCTGCTCGTAGTGCGGTGGGGGCCAGGCCGTGAAAGGCGACGCCGTACTTTGCGGAGGCCATCGCACCCTGGTTCACCAGGCTGGCCTTGGTGGGGGTGTGGGGCCGTCGTAGTTTGCCTCGGACTGCGCGTAGACGTCGGCGTGCTGCAGCCCATCGTGTCGCATGCGTGGAGCGTCTGGTAATGCCGCGTGCTGCACGATCTGCGCCCAAGTCTCGTCCTTCTGTGGCTGCTTGAACGTCGATGTGGAGGTCGCGGATCTGCTGCTGGATCTTCTTGGTGTCTTTGTAGTGCGTGGTCATCAGGGTAGATTTTGTCGGCCAGTCGTGCCCCCTGCTCTTGTAGTGCTAGGAATAGGCGATGCGTTGATGCAACGGTGGCGGTTGTCGTGTGCGTTCTGCTGCCTACTATGCGGATGCTGATGTCGTCGAACCATGCACGAGGTAGTGGTCGTGGTAGGATGCTGGTATCGGTGAGGGTCGCCATGGCGGCGTACACGACTGCGCGAGCGATGTGGCTGGCGTGCCTGGAGCCTGCGAGGATGGAGCGGTCCGCGTAGATCGGCGTGGAGTAGGATCCTTGGCGTCGCAGTACTCGCGCGGCTGAGTGCTGGAGCAGCATGAGGTATAGCAGTCGGGCTGGGAACTGTAGACGTAGCGCGGCTGGCACGGTTTTGTCGATACGGAGGCTGTCATAGAACTTCTCGATGTCTGCCAGCAGGACGGTCTCGGTCACGGTGAGTCGGCGCATTCGTCGGTGATGAGGCGGCGTGGTGCTTCTCGCAGGCAGCTGTTGCCCGCGATGGCGGCGCCCCATTCTCGTTGCTGGTTCATTGCCCATCGACGGACTCGGTCTCGGTGCAGTCGTTCCCAGCAGCGGAATAGTTGTGGCAAGAGGGCGAGCGCGCGGTCACCTTTCTTGGGCTTGGGAATGATCATGGCGATGGAGGGCAGTAGCTGCCATGGCCACATCATGTGCTGTTCGCAGGAGGTTGAAAAAGGTCAACGAGGGCTTGCCGTCCAACTCGTGGTAGCCGTCTGATGTCGCTGCACCTGATGACGTCGACGGCGTTGCCCTTGTCTGGCTCCCCGCGGAAGCAGTGGTCTAGGTCGATGGTCCAGGGCGTTGGTGATTCCTCCCGTTCTGCTCGTTGCCGTAGGTCTGAAAGTAGTGTGGTGTGGTGGCTGTGTGGTACATCGTGGCAGGTCCAAATGTCGTTGAAGTCGGCGGCCTTGGCGTCGACGATGTCTGGCGGGCTGCTGAGTACCTTGCCCCGGTGTACTACTTCATGTTCGCGTCGTGGTGGTGGCTTGGTGATCTTGTGGAGGGTGGCCGGTGTTTTGCAGGCGGTGGCTAGCCAGTTGCTGTGCTCGCGGCGGTTGTGTCGAAGGTCTGTGAGTAGGGCTTGGCTCTTTTCGCAGTGCGCTTGTTGGGCCATGCCCTCTAGGGTCTGTAGGGGCTGAGCGTCTAAGTGCATTAGTCTGTCCTTCCATAGCTGGTGGCGGGGCTTGGCGGTGGGCGATGCGTTTCGTCCGAGTGGTGGGAGCCCTTCTCGTACTTGTCGGCGTCCAGCTGCATGTAGGCTGAGTTGTCGCTGGTGTCCGCGTTCGCGTTGGCGAAGTTTGGCGAGGGTACTGAGGACGTTCTCCACGCGGCTCCACCAGTCGGGTCTGTGGGATGCGTATCGGAGTTGATGATCTCCGAGTTCTCGTAGCGGTTGTTCCTTGAATGCATAGCCTCGGCCTCGTCCTCGGAAGTGTTGTCGGTCTTCTAAAAGGATGTGGTAGGCGAGGCAGAAGAACGTCTCGACCGTGCTGATGAAGTGCTGGTAGGTTGTGCCAATCTGGTCTGCGCTGGTCGGGTCAGCTTGGCACGCTGCGCATTGGCGGATGTATGTGGGTCTGGGCTGGTGGGTCCGTGGTCGAGCACGCTGGCAGCGGTCCAGGTGTCGTCGGGCGCCCTGGTGTCGGTGCCGTTCGCGCGTTCGGCAAGCTGCTCAAGTAGTGGTTTCTGCTCGGGAGCCCTTTGAGCCTCGTCGCAGTCCAGGTCGTTGGGCAGCGCTGAATTCACGTGGTCGTCGGTGTAGGCCATGTCTCTGGCGTGGGTCCTTTGAGCTTCCGCTGCAACATGTGCGTACACCTCCGGGTCATGCATGTTGTCGGTGTCGGCGTGGGAGTAATGGGAGTAGTGGGCGTCGCGTTCGGGTTCGAATTCGTCGAAGTAGTCCGCCGCGTCGTCTTCCTCCATAGGGTCCTGGTCTGCTCCATCCATGGTGGTTCGTCGGTGCTGCGGGTGCTGCGTGAATGTCGAGGTCGTTGTCGTTGTTGAAGTGGTGTCTCGTGGGTGGTGGTGCCATCCTTGCGGTCCAAGAGCTTCCCAGCGGCTGGCGTCGGTCTGGTATTGGTCGAGGGGTGGCTGGGAGGATGTCATTTGTTGTGTCTTGGGGCGTCTCTTCTCTTGGCGTTTGGCGGTGGTTGGCTGCTTGATGGGTGGGGCAGGGCGTGGGAAAGCCTTCGGAATCTGCAGTCGCCGGGCATGGTTGGAGTCCGTGTCCGCTCGAATGGTGATGTCGATCCCGATGTGCGGCTTCCATGGTATGTCGTGCACTGGTTGTGTTCCTCGTACTGGTCGTTGTCCCCCTTCGTTGACGAGCGCGTAGTCGATGTTGGGCGGCTTCGCGTCGCCGAGGAAGCGCGCGCGCTGGTTGTCGTCGAGTCCTGCGTAGGCGGTGGCGCCGAGGGCTGTGGTCCAGCCTGACTGCACCAGGTCGGCGTAGGAGCGGTTGAAGTCGCCGCAGATGGTCCACGGCGCGCGCGCGGCGGCGAGGAAGGCAGCCAGGGACGTCAGCTTCATGGAGTTCTCGCCGAAGTTGAGGACTGACACGGGTCGAGGTAGAGGGAGATGATGGGGAGCTGGGGGCCTCGCAGGTGCAGAGTGACTGGCGTCCAGTCGCACATGCGGTAGGTGGCGTGGGTGTCGTCGGCGTCGTAGGTGGTGGCGTCCGAGACGCTGGCACGCTCTCCCCGATGTCGGCGTGTCGTTGCCTTGGGGCGGCCCTTGGCGAGGACCCCCGTGCCTCCGCAAGTTCCACAGGGGCTGTTCGTCCTTGCGCGCGCCGCGGTGAACACTGCTGAGAAGCCCATATTCTGCAGCGTGTGCTCCGTGTCTGCGAGCTGGGCCTGGGGCAGGTGGGTCTCCTGGATGGCGTAGACGTCGTAGGGCTGCAGTATTCCGTCTCGTCTTAGCCAGCTCAACACCGCGGGGCCCCAGGTCGTGATGTTGGCGCTGAATATGTGGCGCTCGTGGTGGGAGTCGTCGCCGAACTGCCGTCTCCCACCGCGCCTTGACCTTCAGCGGGGCGCGGGGGCCTCGGCTGAGGCCGCCGCGTCCCGCCGCTGTTGGAGATAGTCCTCCGCAGCGGCTGGTACCTTGCTGGCGTGGGTGTCGTTGTCGGGCTGGGTCGCGGATCCAGAGGCGCCCGCGGTTGGTGGAGCGACGGTGGTCGGCGCGTCCGCGGCCTGTCCCGTCGTTTGCTGCTCCGCCTTCCTCTTCTTGAAGGCCTGTTGGATATCGACCCGTTCCTGCTCGGCCTTGGCTTTGGCGGCCTGTAGGTGCTGCTTCAGCTGGCCCGCGAACTCCCTGGCGTTGCGCTGCAGCTGCTCGAGCACCTGTCTCTTGGCCTCGTCCACGGCCTTCTTGCCCTCGGCGTCGAGGTCTTCGTCCCGGCGAAACTCGTCCTCGACCTCGGCGATCTGCACGTCGCTGGGCGAGAGCAGGTCGGCGTCCGCGTCCAGCAGCTGTTCGAAGATGCTCTTCGGCGCCTTCTGCTTGCCCTCGTTCTGGATGGCTTCGATCTCGGCCTCGGCGCTGACGACCGCGCCCGCGCTCTCCTGCAACCTCTCGCGGGCCTTGGCTGCCTTCGCCTCGGCCAGCACCTTCTGCCCGTACGCCCAGTTGTAGGTGCAGGTCGCGGAGTCGAGCGCCTTCGCTGCCTCTGCCAAGCGCACTGCCTTGGACTTGGGCGGCTTCTTCTTCTCGGGAACGTTGAGCGCATCGGCCACACCCGTCAACTGCTTCGCGATGTCGTCGCCGTTGGCCAGCTTCAACGTACCGGTGGACTCTGTCACAGTCCGCAGTGCTGTGGCGAGCTTGGCGACGCCCTGCACGGTGGAGGAGGCGGCGTTGTCTTGCGAGCGTCCTCGACCTCCAGCTGCTGGGCTCGCGCCTCCACTTTTGCCGATGGTTTGTTGTCGCCACCATCCGCTGCCGCTGCTGGAGTCGTGGCCGCCTCCCTTTTGGGGCCGAGCGACGCGAGCTCCGCAGCTGCACCAGTAGTCGTTCTTCTCCAGCGTCGAGTGCCACCACCACTCTTTGCAGCGCTAGCAGGAGGCCCATGTCGTGGGCGCCTGGCTGCCGTGGTGCATCTCGAGGACGAGCAGGTCCTTCTCCGCGCGTAGCCGCCTGCGTGCCGTCGCCCGCCTCTGTCGGAGGCGGCGGTGCCAGGCTTGCGAAGGAGGAGGACGAGGAGGAGGAGGAGGAGGACGGGTGGCCTAAGCCCTTCGGACAAACCCTCCACGCCCCCCCCCCCCCACCCAAGACGACGAAGCCAGGACGAGGACAAATGTAGAGGAGGATACATCGAGAATCCCTGATAGCCAGCGGCAGCCCCGAAGACAGCGCCGGGGGTCCTGCTGGGACCTGGCAGTAAAGGGCGTCCTGATGGAGACTCGAGACGCTCTGCCCCCTCTGAGACGAAGCAAGGACGAGGATAAATTTAGGTGAGGGGGCAATCGCTGGGAGGTCTTCGTTGCAAGGATTAGGGAGGATCAAACCCCACGGGGGGGCTGCTACGCTGGATTAAAACGCGGATAAGCGGAATTAAGCGGGTTCTAGCCAAACTAAGCTGGATTAGACAGGATTAAACCGGATTTCGGACCAGGGCAAAATCAGAATTTGACCTCCCAAGAGTTGCATCCGAAATTCGGTGAGGATAAACCGAGAATCTCTGAGAGCTGGCGGTTCTGGAGGATGTCTCGGGCGCCGCGGCCTGCTCAGAGCGTTCCAGAACGCTCTGGAACGGATTTCTCCTCGTCCTAGCCCTCTGTCCGATACCCCACCTCCCCCCACCGCCGCCTTTTCAACCAGCGCCGGGCCGAAAAGGAGTGCAAGCGAGTCCGCGCTGGCACGCAGTCGAGATTTCCATTCGGGCCTCGCCAGCGCCCCCGCCCCCCCCCTCCACCCTGACTCCGGATCCGCCGTACTTTTTGGGCGATTTAGTCTTAGGGCGGACATTTCCGCCCTACTCGTCAAGCTGCTTTGATGCCGATGTCTGCCCTACTTTGCCGTCGCTGTTTCCACATACTGTTGCTGAAATATCCACCCTACTTTTCTGAGGATTTTCGTCCCCCTGGTTCGCATCGCTCCGGGTGCATTTCAGACATAATCTTTAAGCTAAAAGAGCAACCCAACTACGGAGGATCCGAGATCAGGGCATCCGCACAAGTATGCAAACTTGCCAGACATTTGTCGCAGGTTTGTTCCCCACATCCTGAGTGGGGTTCTTGTTTTCCCATAACACCCTCTCCTTCCCACCCACCTCCCGCTCCATCTTCCATACAGCACAATATTATTCCTACCACACACCATACCAGACCATAGTTCCTACCACACATACCATACCATACCATACCATACCATACCACACCATACGTACCATACCGTACCATACCATACCATGGCGTACCATAGCATACCATACCATATCACACAAATGCCACACCGTACCATACCATCCCATACCTCCAGTACCATACCATATCATACCATACCATAACGTACCATACCATACCATACCTACCATACCATTCCATACCACTCCATACCGAAAACCATACTACTTACATGGTTTCGTGCCCCTCCCACCCCTCCAGGGAGGCCCCGCCTGAGCGAGGAGGGTATCGGAATACCATACTATTTACATGGTTTCGTGCCCCTCCCACCCCTCCAGGGAGGCCCCGCCTGAGCGAGGAGGGTATCGGAATACCATACTATTTACATGGTTTCGTGCCCCTCCCACCCCTCCAGGGAGGCCCCGCCTGAGCGAGGAGGGTATCGGAATACCATACTATTTACATGGTTTCGTGCCCCTCCCACACCTCCACGGAGGCCCCGCCTGAGCGAGGAGGGTATCGGAATACCATACTATTTACATGGTTTCGTGCCCCTCCCACCCCTCCAGGGAGGCCTCCGCCTGACGGAGGGGGAATACCATACTATTTACATGGTTTCGTGCCCCTCCCACCCCTCCAGGGAGGCCCCGCCTGAGCGAGGAGGGTATCCGAAAACCATACTATTTACATGGTTTCGTGCACCCTCCCACCCCTCCAGGGAGGCTCCAGGGGGCCCGCCTGAGCGAGGAGGGTATCGGAAAACCATACTATTTACATGGTTTCGTGCCCCTCCCACCCCTCCAGGGAGGCCCCGCCTGAGCGAGGAGGGTATCGGAATACCATACTATTTACATGGTTTCGTGCCCCTCCCACCCCTCCAGGGAGGCCCCGCCTGAGCGAGGAGGGTATCCGAAAACCATACTATTTACATGGTTTCGTGCCCCTCCCACCTCTCCAGGGAGGCCCCGCCTGAGCGAGGAGGGTATCCGAAAACCATACTATTTACATGGTTTCGTGCCCCTCCCACCCCTGCAGGGAGGCCCCGCCTGAGCGAGGAGGGTATCCGAAAACCATACGATTTACATGGTTTCGTGCCCCATCCCACCTCTCCAGGGAGGCAACACCATACTATTTACATGGTTTCGTGCCCCTCCCACCCCTCCAGGGAGGCCCCGCCTGAGCGAGGAGGGTATCGGAATACCATACTATTTACATGGTTTCGTGCCCCTCCCACCCCTCCAGGGAGGCCCCGCCTGAGCGAGGAGGGTATCGGAATACCATACTATTTACATGGTTTCGTGCCCCTCCCACCCCTCCAGGGAGGCCCCGCCTGAGCGAGGAGGGTATCGGAAAACCATACTATGTACATGGTTTCGTGCCCCTCCCACCCCTCCAGGGAGGCCCCGCCTGAGCGAGGAGGGTATCGGAATACCATACTATTTACATGGTTTCGTGCCCCTCCCACCCCTCCAGGGAGGCCCCGCCTGAGCGAGGAGGGTATCCGAAAACCATACTATGTACATGGTTTCGTGCCCCTCCCACCCCTCCAGGGAGGCCCCGCCTGAGCGAGGAGGGTATCCGAAAACCATACTATTTACATGGTTTCGTGCCCCTCCCACCCCTCCAGGGAGGCCCCGCCTGAGCGAGGAGGGTATCGGAAAACCATACTATTTACATGGTTTCGTGCCCCTCCCACCCTCCAGGGAGGCCCCGCCTGAGCGAGGAGGGTATCCGAAAACCATACTATTTACATGGTTTCGTGCCCCTCCCACCCCTCCAGGGAGGCCCCGCCTGAGCGAGGAGGGTATCGGAAAACATGCTGTTTACACGGTTTCGTGTCCCCCCTCCACTCCTCCAGAGAGGCCGCGCTTGAACGAGGAGGGTCGCGGAAAGCATTACTCTTCGCCAGGTTTCGTAGCCCTCCCCCCTTCCAGCGGGGCCCCGCCAAAGCGAGGAGGGCATCAAGAAAATGGGTCCCACGAAACCGTTAATCTCTTTATGTGGGGAACTCCGTTAGCATAATTTTTGTAGTGCGCACGCGGCGCGGGGAAGCGCGCGGCAAGGGATGCTCACCATCTGTCCCGATCCCCTGCTACGGGTATCACTCTGTGGCGGCGCAGCCATGCATGAAATTATGACAGTCGCCCTGGCCCCCTCTCGCTCCGAATCCGAAGCCGGTGCATACATGCAAGAACCCCTGCCTGCACGGTTTCCCCTGGGGCCGAAGGCGACCAGAGGAGGAGGAGGAAAAGGAGGAGGAGGAGGAGAAGGAGGAGGAGGAGGAGGAGGGAGAGGAGGAGGAGATGGAGGAGGGAGGAGGAGGAAGAGGAGGAGGAGATGGAGGAGGAGGAGGAGGAGGAGGAGGGAGGAGGAGGAGGAGGAGGAGGAGGAGGAGGAGAAGATGGAGGAGGAGGAGGAGGAGGAGGAGGAGGAGGAGGAGGAGGAGGAGGAGGAGGAGGACGGGTCGCCTAAGCCCTTCGGAGAAACCCTCCACCCCCGCCGGAGCCTGCCGCAACACCAGGCCCAACGGGGGGGGGGACCCCTGCGCGAGGAGGGGCAGCGGCTGCTGCTCGGCAGAGGGGCGGCCGAGCCTCGAGGGGGTGCCACGGGGCAGGGGCCGCCGCCGCGCGGGCGACGGGGTCCCTCCACCGAGCGAGGGTGCGAGAGGGGTCAAGGCGCAGAGGGGCTTGCCAACACTGTCGGAGGCAATCCGCCGCTTCGTGCGGGAGCGCGTGGGCTGAAAGCTCGCTCTTGTGAAACACACACCTGGAGCCCGAAGGCTACGGCGCGCGAATACGAATGATAACAGTCCTGTTGCTGAAGGGCAGAATTATGGTGATGGTAACGAAAGCGATAATGTTAATGATGATGGTGGTAGTGAGTGTGATAATGGTGAAGGTGGCGACGAAGATGATGAGCATGATACTGATGATGAAGAGGATGATGATGAGGATGATGATGAGGAGGATGATGATGACGACGACGATGATGATGATGTTGGTGATGATGATGATGATGATGATGATGATGGAGATGGAGATGAAGATGATGATGCTGAAGATGACGATGATCATGATGATGGTGGTGGCGATGGTGATGATGGTGTTGATGGTGATGATGGTGTAAATGATGTTGCTGATGACGATGATGATGATGCTGATGATAATGAGTTTCATGATGATGCTGATGATAATGGTGATGAAGATGATGGTGAGGATGAGGATGATGAGCCTGCAGTCGTTGTGGAAATTTCTTCGACGAAGGCAAGCAGGAACGACAGATCGATGAATCCGCCATCTCTCAAGGAAGCTATCCCAATCGCAGAAGTACGCGATCCACCGCATCACTCCAACATCCGGTGCGCTCGTTGTAGCAACACATATGTAAAATAGATCTAATAGAGATGGGATCCGCGGGGCGGGAGGCCGGGAAAAGCTAGGGACGAGGACGCCTCGGGACTGGGGACGTGGTCAGCGTGCCGCGCCGAAGCGTGGTGGGCCAGATGCTGTGGCACGACACGCTCCGCAAAGCCTCCTCACCGCAGAGGAGGCGGAGGTGGAGCAGGAGGAGAGACCCCCTGACCTCCACACCCCGCGGCGCGAACGGGCCTCCCAGCGGTGTGGGAGACGTAGAGGAGGATGAGAAGGAGGAGGAGGAGGAGGAGTAGGAGGTGGAGGTGGATGAGGAGGAGCAGGAGGAGCAGGAGGACAGAGGCCCCGTCGGCCC